AATCCATTCAGCCGATCTCCGGGTCTGGCGGTAGCACTTTTAGCTGTATCTTAGCATAGATCATTGAATCTGATTAGACTGTTAGCATCTCGCTCAAAAATGACCAAAGAGTTTCGATATTTTTCCTATTTAAAACTTGACTCTTCTGGAGCGTGCTGGGGACTATTTTCAGGCGCTGCGTAATATCATTGCGCCTGCTGCACCCGGAATGAGAGTATAGTTCCTAGCCATATCGGCCTAGAAAATCGCAGCTTTTCATTTTCCGTCGGTCTTAGTACACGATGTAACTACAGAAGAGTCAAGTTTTAAATAGGAAAAATATAGAAACTCTTTGGTCTTTTTTGAGCGAGATGCTAACGGTCTAATCAGATTCAATGATCTATGCTAAGCTACAGCTAAAAGTGCTACCGCCAGACCCGGAGATCGGCTGAATGGATTCGAAAACGGTGAAACTCAACTGTTTAACTCTAGGGGAGTTGGAAAATGAGCCTATTTTCAAAAATAGTGGAGTGTTCCTTTAAGACTTCTGTCTATTCCTTAGTAAAAGTTTGTCTCAGCAGCTTTGTGAATTGGTTTTAAGAGAAAACTCAACTTTACTGCTATTTAGGAGAACTCTTAGTGGTAAGATAAAATGTTTTGTGAATACGGGCCAAGATCTTCTTCTGAGAACTCAAACTCCTGTAAGATCAATAAGATCTCCATCATTCTTGAAGTGTCATTCTTTAATGTTATGGTGGATTGTGCTATGTGTTATGGTGCTGTGTTTCAGCTCCCTGGATTAAGTTAAAGACAACTTTGGACTGATAAATAACTTTCACAATCTTGATGCTCAGATATAGGGTATGACAGCAGCTTTGATTGGAAAGACCTTGTCATGGAACTATACTTGCATTATAAAGACATATGTGAGTTATATGCAAACCTTTAGGTAGCTATTCACATTCCATGTACTCTGCCAGTGACAGTGGCATCAAAGCTAATAAAAACTGACCTCAGATCCTCAACAGCACAGGAACGTCTGAGTGCTCTTGCCATAATTAGCATCAGTCATGATGTGGCAGCCAGCTGTCCTGTGATGATGTAATACATGACTTTGCAAGCAAAAAGGCAAGACAGGCAAGAATTTAGGCCTGGGCAACAATAGAGCTTTCCTTGATGGCATAATTCACTTTACTCGGTAACAATATCTTGTTCGGTTCAGTTGTGAAATGTCGTTTTGTAAACTATTTAGTTATTTTTATTATCTGTAATTGGAATGTTTGTGTACTTTTTTTATTTGCTCTCCACGGTCTTAGGATTTTATTTGAAATATTTATTTATTAATTTCACCTACACACGTTGTGTTTGTCATTATCATGGTTGTTTAATCATTTATGAATAATGGAATTAGTGTATTGTGTCTAAACACATATAACTAAGTTATTTAAATTAAAACACAACATCTTATTGTTAATTTGACATATTACGGCTATTACGGTTGTCTGATGTAGTCTGTGTCAGTGAAAGACGAGTATGTTGTGGCCCATCTTGAAATCTGTTTAGGGCCCCCAAAATGCTATAGGGTCGGTCCGGCTTTTTTGTCTTTGCCACAGTATGAAAACTATCAAAAAGTATCAGTAGCATATGTCACATTCACTCTCCTAATTAAAACAGTATCTACTGTATATATTTCAAATGCTAAACAATGGCAACTTTACAAAGTATCATACAGTTTCCGCAGAGATGGCAATGAAGCAGTCATGCAGTCTACATAAATGCCTACATCAGGACACATTTTACCCCACTTAACATCATTAGACATGTAATTTGATCATCATGCAGTCACATGAATCAAGTGTTTTGTATAGAAGGAGAGTTTTAATTATTTCTTATCTTATTCTCCTGTTCTCAGGATAGCTGTACGACAGCTCAGCTGTGCCTTGCGTCAAGAAGGTCAAGGTTTTTTACAGCATCATTGGTCACTATATGTTAAAATGCGAAAATGAATCATAAGCAGAAATTTACATCAGCTCAGGTTTTCTCTGTGTGAATTCACTGTTGCATTTCAGTAATGTTCTGGGATGTGCTCATCTCAAAAGAGCCCAATTTCTCTTTTGCTAGCCATATTAATTTCAGGTTTTGTCTCTCCTAATGAGCTGGTGACCTGAATCAGGTGTGTTTGTTTAAGGAAACATTTAAAACGTGCAGTGTTGAGGCTCCAGGACAGGGTTGAGAAACACTGGTGCAACCGATTATCACAGTAGTTGACATAACTAATGAAACTTTTACAATCTGCTGTGGATTTGAGAGAAAACATCTGAATGCCATTACGTTTGTTATTTAAGGATTTAAAAATGCAGCAATGATGCTTCAAGCATTCAGTCAAATGTATTTATCTGCTTTTCTTGCAGGAGTTGCAGACTCTATCTATTTAAAATGTAAAGATTTCTTGTCTTGAATCATAACTAAACACTAGGTGGTGCTAGTTCATTTGGCCATAAACACCCCTACTGTCCTAATTATTGCATATAGAGTTTTTATAAATATTCAATAGGTTCTGAACTGAATATATATGTTAATGATTATCTATCTATCTATCTATCTATCTATCTATCTATCTCTATAATCCATTACTGCTGAACTGAGATGAAATTTTTTAAATATTTATACCACAAAGTATTTCCTACATTTATGGAATTTCTTTTGGTACAAATGCATAGCAATACATATGTTGACAATTTAATTTTTTTGTAGGAAAGATCAAGTCATTCATGGCAAGTGTAAACTCTTCTCCAACTAGACTTCAATAAACATTTGCTTTTGGGGTCCAAAAAAAAAAAGTTACCCTTATTAATCTATTGCACAATTTCCTTAAATGCACAGCTTTGAATATTTGTGGAACATGTAGAAAGTATACTTCATAAAATGAGTTTCAATTTATAAATGAAATATATTTTTAGTTTTGTACTTAAAAAAAAAAAAAAGGTAACACTTTATTTCGATAGTCCACTTTAGACATTCTATTAACAGTAAGTAACATTGCAACTACATGTAAACTAGCAGTTAGTAGAGTATTAGTAAACTGTCTGCTTAATATCTTCCAACACTCACTATATTCTACTAACCCTAAACCTACCCTAACAGTCTACTCTGAGAGTTAGTAGACATGTAGTTGCAAATTAATGAGAATTAGTTGACATGTAGTTAACATGTAGTTGCAAAGTTACTTATAGTTAATAGAATGTCTAAAGTGGACTATCGAAATAAAGTGTAACCAAAAAAAAACTATCCAGACCAAGAACTAAACCAAACAGGGCAACATAAATACACAGACTTACTGAGGGAGAAAACAAGCAACAGGTGGAACTAATCAATTAACCAATGAGTAATTAATGAATAACACAGGTAAAGAACTAAATTCATAAGTGATAAGTGATGTGGTATTATAAAAATTGCATTCTACATACATTTTAGTGAGAATGTCTGTGAAAGATTGATGTTGCACCTCTAAATATGATCATGTGAAATATATATAAAAGACATTGTCCATAAGTACCTTCATTGTAGTAAGCAGGCCTACCTTGTTGTGTAGCTCAGAAGTTCCCAACCACATTCATTTCAACACACAAACGATTTTCACTCAGAAATTGCTTTTTTATACTGTTGCTGCGTGTTGTTTTTTAGACCGCCTGGAAGAAGGCTTTGACTCCCCGGAAGGTGATTTTAGAGTGATTTTGAATCAGTTTTGAAAGCCATTCTTCACCAGAATGCGATTGGATTAGTTTTGAGTACCAGTTTGGCTGATTTTGTTACGCAGACCTGGCAACCTCATTCAAAGTATACAAAAGACTTTCTGCATAGAAAACAGGTGGCTTTTAAACAGGAAGATTTGTTTGCAGTAGGGGATTGAAAATGGTGATTTCTATTCAACCATTTAAAGACGGTTTACTGCTTATTATTCTCTTTAAAGGAAAGGTATCTTTAAATCATAACTAGCATTAGGTGGTGCTAGTGCTTGTACGTTTGGCCATTCACACTCCTACTGTCTATAGCAGTGGTTTTCAAACCTCTCCATGAAGTACCCCCAGCACTGCACATTTTGTATGTCAACCTCTCCAGTACCCCCAGCACTGCACATTTTGTATGTCTCCTTATATCTGACACACCCACTTCAGGTCATGCAGTCTCCACTAATGAGCTGATGAGTTGAATCAGGTGTGATAGATGAGGAAGACATACAAAATATGCAGGGCTGGGGGTACTCCAGGACAGATTTGAGAACCACTGGTCTATAGATATTGTCCTGAACTAAATATGCGCAGTAATGATAAAAAAGAGATGATACATAGCAAATTCATTGACACTGCTGTCCTGAGATTAGAATTTTAATTTTTATGTCGCATAAAATAACATTTCCCACATTTCTGGAATTTCATTCCATACAGGTACATGCATAGCAACACATTTTGACTTTTTTTTTCTTTTTTTGAGCAGATTATTATTATTATTATTATTTTCTGTAGGAAAGATTACAACGACTCATCCATACCAAGTGTAAACCCTTCTCCAGCAAGACTTTAGTAAACACTTCACACAGACGATTTCTGGGGGTCCAAGTAAAAAAGTTACCCTTTCATAATACTGCTTTAAATAATGTTTCATCTTTTAAAAAGTATTGCATTAGAAGCCAAATATATGAAAAAAAGAGATAACGAATCAACAAACACACATACAGGTCACTTTTTAAGAAGAGTTCTGCATTGACAAGAAAAACATATGGAAGCATAAAGAAACATCAAGGACAAACTAGACTCTACATGTATTGACAATTATTAATTCAGAAAACTTGATTGCCATATTTAAGGATATGTTGACACATTAGTCGGCCAGAGGTTACTCCACTATCTGTAGATTTTTCTTTTTAATCAGTTTCTACCATTCATGTGGCTTCTTTCTGTAATTGTAAAAGAAACATTAAAGAGAACTTTCACAAACCTGTTTTTCATCTCAGATCTGCATTTTCTTTTTAGAGCTGCAACTATTATTAAATAAATAAATACATAAAAAACACACAAAACTATCAACACACAGTATTCCCAACAAATATTTTAAAAGTTTTTAATAAATGACTGTAGGATAAATCTCCTGATTTGATTGTCCTCCTGCTGCTGAGTACACCAGCATGGAATTGTAAAAATGTCTTATGTTGTTGACCACAAGGGGAGAAACTGGTGCTTGTAAAAATGTAATATGTCCACTTTAAAGAAGAGGGGGCAAATGGTCACTTTTAGTCATCAAAAACAAAAGTGTCCATTGTCCGATTCAAAACAGCAGGGCCATCATCAAGGGGGACAACTGGGTAAGTTGTCCTGGTGTCTTTACATTTATTACATGTTTAGGGGCTTGGGCACGCCTTTATAATGTCCCGGGCCATGTGAATTCAAGATGTGATGCTGGTTAACAGCTCTAACTTTTATACTGCTGTGGACTAGATTTAAGATAGGGTGCAGGTCCACTATTTCACATGCTCTGCTGTGTGTGATGAGCAGTAGAACTTCTTGTGTGTTATAAAGTTTGAGAGGTTGTTGAACTGGATGTCACATGGACGGCAGTACTTTATGTTACTTGTGGTGGCAATGGACCCATTCAACACTCTTTTGAAGCTTGTTGAGACTTCCTCAGTCTTTAAAGATGGCACCAGCATTGTGCTTTCCTTACAGTTGACGGGACTGTCTGCATGGCTCTCCGGTGTAGGGGAGCCATGTTGTTTATTTCCAGCATCTTTCATCTTGTCCTCAAGGTCAAGATTGTCCTTTAAGGATGAAGACTTGCTCTGATTCTCAGAGTCATCTGTGCTAAGATGGCTACCATCAGGCATCGGCTGGTCTTTTTCCCCCTCACTGCCCTCATTTGGACTCTGCCTCCGTTCGCTTTGTGAGACCAGCATCCCTGTAGCGTAATCAGTGGCTTTGATTTCATAGTAAGGCCAGATTTGCTCATCGGGTCTCATTTTCTTAGCAGGACTTGGGTAACCACCAGAGGGCTGAAACACACTCCTCATGTCAACTTTTATTGGGATTTGTTGTTCCTCACTGGAAGCTTGGATGTCAGAAGTTGCATTTGGATGCTCAATCTTTCCATGCAGAGCTGGGAGCTCAAAGAGGGCACTGTCTAAAAGAGTGCTAGTATTTCTAGGACCTTCCTTTTTGATGCTTTTGTTCTCAGATGAAGTGTTTTGCAAAATAGTACCTGGGCAGAAGTTCTGTTTGTGCTTGAGATAGTCCTCAACTTTGTTGAAGCTTATCTTGCACACAACACACTCATGATAATCCATAAGTCCTTTAGAGGAAACCGAAGTGTTGCCAAACTGTGGCATGCATTTTTTACTGAGATCTATAGGTGCATCACCTTCTTCCTTGAGGATTGTATTACATTTTGACACAAGAGCTGATTTTGAAACTGTCAATGAAGCCTCTGGATATTTGGGTACTAACCCCTGGATCATGTTGTATCTCTGATGGTCCCTGAAGCTATCCAGTGTGTCCTTTGACATGTATGGACCTCCTATAGTGGGCATACCAAGAAATGATGGCATACCCATAGGAGGCATTTGTTCTTGTTCAGGAGTGGCCAGCTCATATGCCTTTCTTCTTTTACGAGGACGTACTGTCTTCTGATTGGCTGCTCCTTTATTGTTTGCGCGTTTCATTTGAGGATCATGCCGAGTGGCACAGTAATACTGCTTGTGCACCATGTAGGTCTCATGTCGACTAAAGGTGATCTTGCAGGCGTCGCATGTTGTGTGGTTGGGGTCCGTTTCGGTGGGTGGCATTTTCTGGTTTTGTAAATCCAGCTGTGTACCATTTGGTCTCTCCTGTGCACCAGATGGAGTTGACGCTTTTTTAACTTGCACCGACAGTTCATCTGTCACTTTTCCACCTGCAATGGGATTGCAAGGGTTAGGCTCATGCCCTTTCACTTCAGAGGGATGGCCGGCATTTAGCATAACAGCTAAACTAGCTCCGATTTTCGGGCTTACAGTGCCTGCTGGTTTATCCAGAAGTCCAGGAAAGTCATGTGGCTTGAGTGTGTTTTCCCATCGACTGTTGCAGTAGTGCTTCTTGTGCACCAAATAATTATTAAGGTTATTGAAGGTGATATTGCATTCAAAGCATGTTGCCCCTTTTGGCACAAGTGTGCTGTACATGACTGGAGGGTAAGAATTTCCCCCGTGACGTAACCTGCGATGGACCAACTCTGACATTTTGGCCAGTATCTCAGATGCTTGCGGGCCCACCGTAATATCCTGTGAGAACGGGACATGTGGTATGAAGGGGGGTAAGGGAAATGCAGGAGGCAGGTGGTGTTGAATGGGTGAAGAGGCTAAACGGGGACTGGAAGGTTCTGACTTTACTCTGGAGTATGAAACACTAGCCTTGTTTCCTGAGTTTCCCTCACCCTTAGTGGATGTCTGGCTACTTTCCGTGCTTTCCAGCTTTGACATTTGATTTATATCACGTTGTACTGTGCTTTCCTGAAGGTCTTTCGTGTTTGCATTAGCTCTGACTTGTTGAGGGCTGCCTGCAATGCTGCTAGGAGAGTTATCAGCTTTGTCTTCTTTGAGTTTGTTGACCGTACAGCTATGTCCATGTAGCTCCTGGTGTTTGACCAGTTCTCTGGGGGTTTGGAATGTGAAATGGCAGTGACCACATCTCAGGCCAGTTTGGGACAGATGGGAGAGGATGTGGTGCTGGAGTACCATAAGGGTTTCTGCAGTGTAGTCACAAATTGTGCATTTCAAGTTGCTTCCAGTGGTTATCTCATCTAACTTGAGACCTTGATAAACAAAAAGAAAACAGAAATGGTGTTAATGAGCAACACTACAATACAAAGTTGAGTCTAACCAAGGCTCCTCTACGTTGAGTCATGGTGCTTGTGCAGATAACTTTAGCTGAAATCCAGTTTGGAATATTTCCTGATCGATTATACCAGGGGTGCCCAGTCCTGTTCTTGGAGGGCCAACATCTTGCAGATTTTATTTCTAACCAGCTCCAAATCGCTTACCTGGAAGTTTCTAGTGAGTCTGAAGACCTTGTTGAGCTGGTTTAGGTGTGTTTAATTAAGGTTGGAGCTAAACTCTGCAAGACCTAAGCCCTCCAGGAACAAGTTTGGACACCCCTGCACTATACCCATAATTCCCTGTCCTCTCTCTACTGAACTACCAAAAAACACTTCAAACCAGCCTAAGCTGATTTAGCTGGTCTTGCAGCCTGACCATGTGACACGTGCCCAAAACTCATCTAAAACCATCAATCAGACCAGGGGTGTCCAATCCTGCTCCTAGCCAATGTCCTACAGAGTTTAACTCCAAACAGCTCCAACAAACTTGCCTGGAAGTTTTTAGTGGGTCTGAAGACCTTGATTAGCTGGTGTGTTTAATTAGGGTTGGAGCTAAACTCTGCAGGACAATGGCCTTGCAGAAACAGGTTTGGACACCCCTAAAACCCAAAGTATACTTCGTCCATCCACGTTCCACACTTTGTTCGTGTGATGCAATTTTAATCATCAGAAGTGTCCGCGGATTGTCCGTGCACAACAGCGCGTGCGCGAGATGAATGTTGAGAGTCTATTAGGTGGTACTGTGCATGTGTCGAACTTGTCCATGCATGCTCAACTACATTTGAGTATACTTTGAAAGCTGTGTATACACGGCTGTGCACGAGATGGAACGGAACACGGAAAGTTAAGTATTCCTGGACCTTAAACTAGACCAGGGATAGGCAACGTTGGTCCTGGAGTGCCACAGTCCTGCAGAGTTTAGCTCCAACCCTAATCAAACACACCTGAACAAGCTAAGCAATGTCTTCAGGATTACTAAGGCTACAGGGTTGAAGCTAAACTCTGCAGGATAGCGGCACTCCAGAACCAAACCAACCTGACCAGACTAGTTAAACAAGTGTGTCTTTCTTATTTGTGACTGGTCAAATGGTTATCTGAAAAAGAATGTCTTCTTGGTCTACTCACTGTTATGTGTGGATAAGTGCATTTCCAAGGCATGCGAGCCTGCAAAGCTCATATTGCATTGGGGGTAAGTGCAATTGCGGAGCATTTGATGGCTGATATTGGTGTTTTTCTCTGCCACCATCTCAGGGTCCCTTTGTCGCCCACTGCAGTAATACATAAGGTGGGCCTGGAGGTTTCTTTCACTCCGAAACCAGATGCCACAAGCCTTGCAGAGGAAGATGTCTTCTACAAAGACAGAAATGGACACAAGCATATCCATATTGTATTATCTAAAGCTTGTGAAAAGCCAGCATCTAAAATTGCAGAAGTTAAATACAGTGGGGTCAAGAAATCTGAGACCTCTAGAAAACTGCTTCTATTTGACTTTTTTGTCATTTTATACAAAATTGATTAGTGACCTTGAAATAGTGCAGAATCGTAAATATTTCTTATTTGTTTTATAATATACTTTTCTTTTTTGAAAAGTTCCAAAATCCTACATATTTGTCCAGGTTTAAATGCTTTTGAGCAATTCACAACAGAAAGCATTATTCAAATAATATAACAAATACTATAAAATAAATTCTAAAAATATTAGGCTCAAGAGCACATCAGTCCCAGATGGATGCTGGGATACAATATATCTGTAATTTTGATTATGCAGTAAAGGGATGAACCACATAACTCAACCCTATAGACCCCATCAATGCAAATGCACTGTTGTTTGCATCAAATTCTTGTTAACTATGATTAGAGAATGGAAGAGGGTAAATATCTAATTCTTGCAAAACTGAAGGTCAGCCTCGACCCTTGGTAATTATCTTATCCATGGCAAACATGCACATCAGAGCTGTGATGACTCTTTGACATGGATTTCCATTTTTAACCAAGCACATTAATCAGTCTATCCACTGTGGCAGAGGCCTGATAATGCAGCACTCACTGTTGATGATAGCGCCGGGCAGTATGGAAGCCATGGCTGCTTGCTGAGGAAGGAGTCGAATGCCGTCCAGCTGTCGGGCCGGGTACATCCCTTGACCGTAGGGAGTTTGGGCTGGTGTTTGAAGATGCGAGTGCAAATCCACCACACAGGCTGCAAGTTCGTCTCCTTCCATGATGTTTTTAGTTGTGGAACACCACACATGTCCTCCTGTGAGAAAAAGCAAAGTTTGTATTTAATAGAGTATTTTAAAGGGATCATGAACTGAGAAACCAAAATTCCCTGAGAGGTCATTGTACTATAAAAACATCCTTTAAATTTCAGAACTCAAAACTTTGTCGTTAGTCTAAAAACAGCTTATATTGAAGGCAGTCTGCCAAACCACATCTTGTGGAATGTGCCACTCTATGATGTATAATACTGTGGCTAAGCTCCGCCTCTGCAGAAGAAGATTGACATCACTGTCTGATTAGCCCCGCCCACCAATTTTTGCATGCAGTTTTTACGAGAGAAGCAAACGCACAGGTCAACGCAGAAACTAAACGATAAAGATTTTTCATTTTTAATGAAGAACCAGACCACGTCAGTTAGAACTTGGTCTTTTGTTCACTTAACTTTACCACGGATTCGTTTACAAACAAGGCACAATTCGACGTGGGATTTTCAAAAAGATTGAAACTAAAAGACGATGCTGTGCCGACTATATTGGATCCGACAGTAATGTCGCACACAAGTGTGAGTAATTGTTTTCATTAAGTGGTCGCTATTGCTTTGTCTGTTAACCAGATTATTTGATATGTACTGAGTATTTATGCAGTTTTAGCCTAAATCACTGCAACGTCCATCTGTGAAGGACGTAGACTGTCAATCATACACAACTGTTAGCCAATCATAGCAGTGGGCGTTTACTTCTGAGCCTACAATCTGCCACACCTATTCAAACAGAGCGCTCTGATGAGGGGGGTCAAAACAGGACAGAAAATAGCGTATTACTTCTAAATTATGTTTTTTTTTTAATGTAAAAATCTTGATAACATTATAAGTGGACCTCAGAGAACAATACAGAATAAAAAACAGAGACAGTTCATGACCCCTTTAACCATTTAAAGAAAGTTATTTATGCTATCTGAGGTCCCTTGGAGACTGATGAATGAGGGAAAGACAGTGAAAAAATATTTTGCTTTTCACTGCGTATTTATTGATTCGTGTTTCTAAATAGCTGGTTCGTTTTATTATTGCTAATATATATATATATATATATATATAAGTCTATAAGTCTGATAAAGATCATCCAGATGAAAATGAACCCATGAAACAGACCTTGAAGTGAAATATTTGAGGATTATAAGGATTATATTTTGTTTATGCCTAACAATAAATCATAACTGGTGCTTTCTACTTGTCATAAAATTCACTCAGAGAACAATTTTTTGTTGCAAATAAATTTTTTCTGCCAGTGTGGTATCAATGCAAGACCTCACAAACTTGTTTTTCAGAAACAGCAGTAGTAAGCTTCTACTTTTATCTATTTTCTACTAAATACACAGAAATCAGCATAGTGGAAAATAGAAACATAATACTTTTTGAGCCCACATACAGCACGCTGTCCTACACACGAATGCATTGCTTTGAAGCCGCAACAAACAAGTGAGGGACAAGTGTATTACCAAAGACGCTGCCGCTAAAGAGAATGGACATCTCGGATAAAAGTACAGCATTATTAAACTGAAGGGCTGCGGATGAAACATTCCACTGGAGTACGCAGAACAAACTCATTAGCCAGTTAAAAAGAAGAGGAGTGCTTTGTGACTGAGATAACATTTATCTGTCTAAATGACGGACTTTCAGTCTGCGCGTCATCTTCCATTGAGGGGATTAAAGTTTTAAATATGACTATTTACAAAAGTCTGGAACGTAAGATAACAAGAAGAGACATGATATGCCAGCACTAAATGCTAGAATTAGGACGTGGACTAATTGGGGAGTTGGACAATGAGGATGAAGTTCACTCAATGCTACCTTTCAAACATGCGTGAGTGTTCTCCGACAGCATGTCGAAAGAGAAAAAGTGACCTGTGATGTGCTGTCATGCCTCCCGCGGAGGAATGCTAATTGCATGTGCTTGGACGGGACTTTTGGTATTGTGGGTCTGACATGAGGAACAGATGTTCATTCAATAAAACAGATTTTTAATGCAATTGTGGTTTTGCATCAGTACCCAGTACAAAATTATTCATAATAATTCATTAATATCTTAACAGCCACAATAGTACAATTTTAGGTCCATTTTTGATAATTTGTTGATGACACTGACAAAACCACGTCACCAGTTTTATTAACTGTTGTTACTGGTATTTTGTAGATACTAGTTACAATGGCGCATATTTATAAAGGACAAATAACATAAAAATTGCAGTTTGCAACAATCCTCAAACAAAGATAAAGCAAAATAAAAGTGTCGTTTAGCCTCTGCCCATGCAGCCTGTTCTTGTGCCTTTGCTATTTTAGTACTGGCAGTGAAACAGAGCAATCTGTCTGACCAGTGTTTATTTTGGCACGACACACTGTAGTGAAGACAATGAGAGGTTTAAATGCAATGCATGCGCGTCTTTCCTCCCTCTCTCTTTTATCCATGAATTCAAGCAAATGTTTATATCTGTCAATGAGTTTCTTGCTCATCAAAGCTGGAGAGAAAATAAGAAAGCTTTATAGTGTTTGAGCATCCAACATGACTAAAAAAAATTTAAGTTAACGGCTAAAGGGAAACTGCATAGCAATAGTATTTTTGGAGAATGTACTGTACAGTGCTGTATGGGCAGACGACTGTGGTCAGGCTTCGTTTAAATGGTGCTTTCTGAGGAATCTGTGTAAGGAACACAGCATAACTGTCAAGCCTTTGCGACGGCCACTAGGGCATTTACGGTAGTTTTGTGGCAGACTGACAACTGCTCATGTGCATAGCTTGTGTCTGTACCAGATGGAAAGGTGAAGAGAGAACTCGCTCTACCGACATCTGTTTATCTTCATTTTATTTAATACCTTCTTGTTTGTGACCTGAGTTGGATGCTTATTTATGTACAATTTTTGTCTCACTCAATCCCCATGTATGTGGACGAGTGTGTCGGCGTGTGAGGCGTTTTATTAAACTCAGGGAAAATACGCCATCTTCTCGTCTCCCGTGCATTATTAGCACCACACAGTTTTCCTATGTGGGCTGTTGAACATTTCAACTTGGTGTTAAATCTTCACCACAAGGTGGCGATGTCCTCACCTTTGAAAGCAAGGTCTCAGAGGATCATTGATAAAAGTTGGATTGCTCCTCTGTTAAATACTGTTTGTTTCTGTCAGTGCTGCAAATATTAACTGGGATTAGTTTAACTTTTTATTTCAGTATACATATATGCATTATCTCATAAATGCATATGTACACATACATATAGCCATAGGCCTACATAGTGTGTGTGTGTGTGTGTAGGAAATATGCTAGCTGTATTTCAGCCAGAAGAAATATCTTGAATAAATTCAGAATAATTCAGCATCCATTTTATTCAATAATAATAATAAATATTATTATTATATTATTATTATCATGATCATTCTTATCATCATTCTTATTATTATCACACACACACACACACACACACACACACAAATAAGCAATAATAGTCTGATACCACATTCAAAATGTGATTGTTTTTTATGGCAATTTTGACAAATGCACACTACTGCTTAAAAGTTTGGGGTCAATATTTTTGTATGTACGTATTTATTTATTTATTTATCTATCCTTCCTTTCATTCATTCATACATTCATTTACAATTTTATTTAGAAAGGATGCATTAAATTGATCAAATGTGACAGTAAAGACATTGCAAATTAAAACATATTCTATTCTATTACATATTCTATATTCTATTTCAAATAAATGCTGTTCAATTGAACTTGCTACATCAAAGAATCCTGGAAAAAGTATCAGGATTTCCACAAAATATTAAGTGGCACAGCCGTTTTCAACATTGATAATATTTTTTGAGCACAAAAAAAAAGGGGGAAAAAAATTACTGACCCCAAACCTTTGAATGGTAGAAAAGAAAACCGGTTTCTATAGGTGATTTGTATTAAGGAGTATTAAGGTTTCTAATACTGTAAAAAGTACATAAATATATTTAATCAGGTTTTAACATTCTGCATTGCTTTCTTCGTGATTCTTAAAGGGGTCCTATTATGCTCTTTTACAATGTCTTGATTTTGTTTTGGGGGTCAAAGCAGCAAGCTCCATCTGCTCCTGTTTAGTTAAACCTTATTTCAAAATTACAAGTATGATTTTAAAATAAAAAGGACAATAAACTATGCCTTCTCCTCTACCTTTAAACTGCAACGCCGTGACTCATGGCAGAAAACGACCCACATTACTTGGCTCTTGGGCCAAGACCATCTTTATTTCACCCAGCAACTGTGTTTAATGAGGAAGTCCTAAGAGAACGCAGACAAAAAGTGTCCTAAAACGCCCAGCATAAGAGAGTGAGATCTTGCAAGCGCAGCAGCAGTGTGTGTGAGACAGCGGCGAGCTCACTTTCACTGCTCCCTTCCATAAATCACATCTGCATCCCAGAGTGCATCAGTCATACGGCTCCGTTCCCTCAGGGGCCGCCCTCATGGAGCTCCTGTGTTCCTGGCCAGCGCCCCGGGTATCACCTCTCCACCATCTGCCCTGCACACCTGCACCCTCATTGATCTCCTGGCCCACGCGCTACATCAAACACACACCAGAGGGGCATCGTGCTGCCTTCTGTGAGGCACGGCCAGTCATCTGGCTGGGGAAGCAGGGTGTGAAGTTATGCCTCTCTTTGTATATTCATGAGGCGGTGCAGTCAGTGTTTATTTTCCCGCAGCACACCACACCTCCGGCTTTCAGGTTCAAATTGAGGAGAGGCGGTAGCTTGACAGGTCTGCCAAAAAAATGATCCCGCCGTTTTCCAATTTCTAAATATGAGCTTTGAGAAATGAATCGTCTTCCTGACAGCTAGCCTACTGGTCCGGCTAAAGCGAATGCTGGCAGAAAGTGAGATTTTACTGGCTGGGTGAACTAAGCTCCTTATGAGTGACAGGTCAAAACCTGCGTCTGTCTCACTTTCCTTTTTCCTTTCTTTATGTCAGTCCGAAGGGTTCAATATGGCATCTAAATGACCTTGAAGAGGGCAATCTTTGA